AAAACAGGCTATAGTAAGTCTATTCAAATCTCCTATTTATGAACCTACAGAAGAACCTCTAAAAGAGAAATCTCCTAAGAGTTATTTCCTAAAGTGGAAAAGGTACCTAAAAATAATGAGATCGTAATACATTATATGAATACAGAAGAAGTTTGGGATATAAATCAAATTGTTGTTGACAACATATTTTTATTTAAAGTTGCTCTTGACATTACTAGAAGTAATACTGAAAACATTATCAAAAGTAATGATGATAATGAACCACAAACTGTCGAGGAATGTCAACAGAGAAATGATTGGCCAATGTGAAAAGAAACAATACAAATAGAGTTAAACTCGCTTACAAAACGTGAAATATTTGGACTGTAGTTCAAATCCCTAAAGGGATACAACCTATGGGATATAAATGGGTTTTTGTTCAAAAACACAATGAGTAAAATGAAATTGTAAGATATAAAGCATGACTTGTTGCGCAAGGTTTTTTTAAAGAGACTTGATATTGATTATGAGGAAACATATTCACTCGTAATAGATGCAATTACATTCAGATTTTTGATTAGTTTGGTAATCACAGAAAATTTAGATATGCGTCTAATGGATGTAATTACAACATATTTATATGGATCACTAGATAGTGATATATATATATATATATAAATATGATATTCTCTGAAGGATTTAAAATGCGAAAAGCATTTAATTCAAAATCCATAAGTGTTTATTTAATCAAGCTACAAAGATCTCTATATGGGTCGAAATAATCCAGATGCATGTAGTATAATCGGCTCAGTGTATATCTGTTGAAAGAAGGATATGTGAATGATTCGATTTGTCCATGAATTTTAATTAAGAAATCAGAATCTGGATTTGCAATTGTTGCAACATATGTTGATGATTTAAATCTTGTAGGAACTCTAGGAGAACTTACAAAAACTGTAGAATATTTAAAGAAGGAATTTGAAATAAAAAATCTTAGTAAAACAAAATTTTGTCTCAGCCTGCAGATCGAACATTCACCAAATGGGATTCTTGTACATCAATCAACATACACAAAAAAAGTCTTGAAGAACTTTTATATGGATAAAGCTCATCCTTTGAGTACTCTAATGGTTGTTCGATCTCTTAATACGAAAAAGGATCTTTTTTGACCTTGAGAAGTTAATAAAGAACTCCTTGGTTCTGAAGTACCATACCTTAGTGCAATTGGTGCTCTCATGTATCTTACAAATTGTACCAAGCCTGATGTTGCATTCACTGTTAATTTATTAGCAAGATATAGTTTCGTACCAACCTGAATGCATCAGAATAGAGTAAAACAAATATTACGTTATCTTCGTGGAACAGTAGATGTAGGTTTATTTTATTCAAATAAATCCAAGCCGCGGTTAATCAGATATGCAGATATTGGATATCTTTCTGATCCACATAAATCCAAATCACAAACATGATATGTTTTTACCTATGGGCATACTACTATATCCTGGCGATCAGTAAAACAAATATTGATTGCTACTTCTTCAAATCACTCAGAAATACTTGCAATTCATGAAGCAAGTTAAGAACGTATCTGGCTTAGATCCACAATCCATCATATTCAAGAAAGATGTGGATTGTCTTTAACAAAAGATAGTCCGACCATATTATATGAAGGTAATGCTACGTGTATCACACATATCAAAGGAGGCTATATTAAAGGTGACATGACTAAACATGAACTCCAGAAGAATGGTGATATCGATGTTCAACATATACGCTCAAGTAATACTCTGGTAGACCTATTTACTAAAACATTACTAACTGCAACATTTAAGAAGCTGGTGTATAACATTGGGATGCGTCGACATAAAGACCTATTATACAGCATTGAGGGGGAATAATCAATTTTAGTAGATTATAGATTGTACTATTTTTCATTTGTTTGAGGTTTTTTCCCATTGGGTTTTTTTTAGCAAAGTTTTAATGAGGCAATCTAAACAAATCATATTCAAGAATATTGTACTCTTTTTCTTTCATTAAAGGTTTTTTTCCACTAGGTTTTCCTTAGTAAGGTTTTAACGAGACATATTCTTCGTATATGGTTTATCCAAAGGGGAGCGTTGTGACATATCTGAATAGCCATCAAAAGAGATGCAATTGGAATTCTAATGAGTTTTGGACCAAAGTGGAAATAGAAAAAAGTTTTACCATGTGGGAAGTGTGGTATGCCATATGGTAAACGACATAGTGTGATGATTAGTGAAGGTTTTATTACCTATAAATAAGTGAATTTTCATAGTAATAAAGATAGAGAGAAATTGTATATTATATGTGTGATATCTGAATAGGGAGTGTGGCATTGCTAATCTTAATGATGGTTGAGTCTGTGGCTGCATAGGTCTGTTCTGCAGCTTGTTGAACAGATCTGCTAAGCTGCTTGCTGTTATGTTCAAATACAGTCTTGGTTTCTGCTGTGTTGCAATAATTGGATTTTGAGGAGTGGCTGAATGTTACCTGCTCAGATATGTTCAGGTTGTTCTTAGTTTGTTTAGGGCATCAGAGGTTCAATGCTTGCATTGGCAATGCTTGGTCTATGCCTAGGACTTCTTTGTCTGTATGTTGGTTGCTGATGGGAACAGTTGATGGCTGGATCTGGTCTGTTGGCAGTTTACACTACTTGAGCTGGATCTGGTCTACTGATTACCTGTGATTTGGGTATTTGGGGTCTGCTGTGTATGTTGCTTTGTTTGTATGTTGGCAACTGATGGAATCATCTGATGGTTTGATTTGTATGTTGGTTGCATTCTATATTTAAATGGTCTGGTGATCTGTTTGGTTTGGGTGGATGTATGGCTTAGATGTCTAGCTGTTTGGTGTTTGTTTTGTGTTGTCTCTTCGTTGGTCTCTTACCAACTCTGGGGTGCTAGCAAGTGATAGGATGAGTTTTTTGGTGCCAACCTAGTTGGGATCAATTAGCTCATTGTGATGCGGTGCACTTTTTTTCCTTTATTGATGTAATGTGCTTGTTACCTTGTACTTGTTTATTCCATCAATAAAATTTCTTTTTGTCGATAAAAAAAAAAATGTGCGATCCTTTATTTCTTTTTTCATTGTGGCTTTTTTTTTTTAATTTTAATTTTTTATAATAATATATATAAAATAAAAATTCAGTCAAACTTGCACAAAAAAGTTAGAAACATTCTCTATGGTTTGAGAATAGTTCACACGAATATTGCTATTTTTTCTTTCTTCCTTTAGTGGCACTAGTGCTCCGTTTGTTTGGCGGAACGAAAATCAATGGAAAATATTTAAAAAAAATATTTTTTACATTTAAAAGGTAGAAAACGTTTTTCAAATTAGAGTTTTATTAATATTACCACATTACTATTACCACTCTCACTTAACCACCACACACAATCGCCATCATGGCCGCTGCCATCCCACCACTACGCCACCACCTTTATCCCACACCACCACCTCCACCTCCACCTCCAAACTAAGTAAGGACATGAATACGGATGCAGACACGAGATACGATGCTTTCAAAAAAATGGGAACACGACACAGACATGGCGGGGACACAACAATAAAATATGTTTTCATATATTTTTATTTGTTATCTAAATTATTATCACATTCACAAACAATCAATATTAACAAAAACTAATTCCAATTCTATTTAAAAAAAATAAAACACTTTTAAATTAACACTTACAATTTATATATATATTTTTTATGGATGATTTATTAGGTATTTAAATATAAGAAAAAAATAATAAATATTTAATATTCATCAAAAGTACTAAATAAAATGAGAGAAAAGACAATTTGACATGTCCCCGACATGTCCCCGAAGTGTCCCCTTAAAATAAATTAATTAAATAAGGAAATACGCCATGTGGTGTGTCTCAACTTGTCCCCGAAATATTCATTGTCTCCGAAGTGTCCGTGTATCCAATACGGATATGAATGTAGCATAAGATTGGTATTATCTTCTAACATGTTCTTGCCACTAGAGTTCACAAGTTTAGGTTGAAATGGAAATCCTTCGATTCTATTCTTTATTGTCAGCACTATCCAGTTTCGAATTTTCTTGATTCTTTGAGGAAAGCCTAAATGAGTATTTTTGGTGTCTATTGTTCTTTGACGGAAGGGCGATCATGTCTATTTCTGAATGAATGATGGAGGTTAACATCTTTCCAAAAAGGATGATCTATATGTAAATTAGGATGATGAGTAAAATGGTTCTTCATTTCCATCTAAACCAGTGAAAGAGCCTTCAAGATTGCCTTTTTATCCAAAGAGGATCATTTGTATGACATGCAATAATCCGTGGTTTGTTCTAAACCGGTGAGAAAATCCTTTAAAATTTTGTTATTTTCGATATCCTCGAGTATTGATCAATTTATACACGGTGACAAATAAAATAAATAATTCGAACCATTAAAATAAGACATGTAAGAGTTATCAGTGAATAATTGACTTTCATGTAATTAATCCCATGTGTTATATTTTTCAACAATGTTACAGATTTTCAAAAAATATAACTTCACTCATCTGTGATTTGTCAATGAAACAAAGAAAAGAAAAAATATAAATACATGATTTGTTCACATCATTTTGGGAGTCATGAAGGTCCCAACTTTGTGGGTTTCACGTATTTTGGTATATTTTTTTTGGGATGAAACAAAACTACCAATCAAAATGTACCAAATGTCAATCTTTGTACTACGAATCCTTAACCTGACCACTCAATAAAAATCCAAACACATAAGACAGTTGTCTGTGGAGTCGGTTTGGTAACTCATATGCATTTTGTCTAATCCAAACACCACATGTCAAATTAATTTAATAATTTTCTGATTTGACATTTACCCTAGAAAACCTAAAGGATATCATGTTAGTCATATTTGAGAACCTATGGGTCTTCAAGCAAACATTGTCATCTAGATCTGTCAGCAAGGAGAGCAAGAAGAACAAAAACATCAATCAATCAATCAATATCAAGTTAAAAAAACAGGTTTCTAGCTATTAGATTCTATTATTTGACTATGGTAAAATAGTTCTTCAATACTATTCCAACCAAAAATGAAGAATTTGTAAAAAAGAATAATGTCTATCATATCATATTGATGTAGTTTCATACACACTGCCATGCAGAGGCTGTTATCAGACACCTATCTTGCCACCCCAAAGAGATAGCTCTCTCATCATCTCTATCAAAAACTCTGAACCCACCATGGATTTCTCCTTCCAATTGAATTGGGCAATAATGGGTTCTAATTTTCAGAAGAAGTTTGGCTTGAATCATTGATTTTGAACTCAGTTTTAGTCCTGCAAATCCATGACCCTCCATTCTTCCTTTCCATGTCTCCATCTTCTCATACCTTGGACAACTTGTGTCGTCCTTTTCGTAGTTCATCACTTTCTTGATCTCTTTACCCAAATGGTTCTTCTCAATGCTCAACCTCTCTGAGCTATCAAGTGGGAGACAATCATCTAATGAGTCAAACATGGCTGCAAAATAATGAAGAGACTCCATGAATCTTGATAAGAAGCTTCTAGGGGTTCGACTGCCTTCTTCTTCCACCAGGACTACAATGGAGGGTTTAAGTGAATGTACAGATCTCAAAGTCTCAGAGATCTTCATAAAACTATTCAAAGTATTCAAATGAAAGACTAAATTCACCGCGACTGTTTCGTTCTTTCTTTTCCTTAGGTTTATGAGTTTAGAACCTCTCAACAAACCTTGGAATTCAAAAACCAAGTTACGAAAGCCCTTTGCGAAGCTCACTAGCCTTGTCTCTGTTTCTTGAAGCTCCTCATAGCTCCTTCCAAAACCCGTTATTCGCAATGATATTCGGTTAGCGCCTGTGGCCTTTTCTGAAAGAGATTGAATCAGAGAAGGCCATTGAAAGCCATACGACACGTCAAAATCAATGACATGTAAAGAGCTGTTATTGTTGTCTTCGTCCTTCTCAAATGCCTCGATTATGGCCTGGTTGGCGGTGAAATGAGCAAATTGAAAACAGGGAGAGACACGATAGAGCTCGGTGAATGCCATGAACTCTTCCTCAGGAGTTGGTTCCTTCATGATCATGTCATAGAATGGCGATTTTCTTGTTAAAAGTCTTGCAACCAATCCATCTGCAAAATGGGCCGCCACACGTTGGACTGAGTCTCCGTTTAGGGACACATTTTGGTACAATTCGCTTAGATTTTCGACAGCCAATTCAAGGTTGTTCTCATCAATGGAGCTTGCTGAGATGAGGAGCAAGTGGATCAAATGAAGCCCTTTTCCATCTTCATCAACCACTGCTTTTCTCTTTTGATCTAGTAGCTTCAACATTTGTTCCCTCATTTGAAGGAGTCCATAGATCTTTCCTTCACATCCTTCACTTGAATCCAAAGTGTTGAAGTTGAATGCTTCTTTTGTCTTCCTTTTTCTTTTCCTTTCACATCCTGAGTCTGTCACAATTGCAAGACGAAGACTCAAAAGCTCCTCCTCGTCTGTACCTTCCATTAATGTGAGAGAGAGAGAGAGAGAGAGAGTGTATCTAGAACAGATGAGACCGGAGAGAATAAGGTATCATGGTTGGGTTTTAATAGAAGACATGGAATAGGGAATAATCCATGAAAATTCTTTTGTGTCATTACATGGTAATAGAACCAACAATACCAAATACAACACACCGAATAAATATATATATATATATATATATTTTTTTTTTGATCAGTAAAGAAAGTTTTATTTATTGAAGGAATAAATATATATATATATATATGAAAAAATTCTAAAATTTTACAAAATTTGAATATATGGTACAAATTTAAACTTTATATGGTGTATGATAGTTATATTTTGAATAAATCTGATCTATTCCTTCTTATTTTTGAGATTTTTATTTTTATTTATTTATTTATTTATTTTGATACATGAGCTTGTTTGGAATGTGCTATATAAGCACACTTTTTATTTTTTTATTTTTTTTGAGTCACATCATTTTCTACTTTTTTGCATATATTTTTGTAAAAAAATTAAAAATACACTTATTTAGATCATCCTAAATAATCTAAGATGAAAATCTATTAAATTTCATCTAATCTTATATATTAAAGGGAAAATCTCAAATCAGTAGTATCTTAGTGATCATTGTTTTCATTTACATGTGTTGCAAATCTATTAGATTTCATGTATAGTGCAATTTTATTAGGGAATTATATGTGAGGGAAGGAAAAAAAATTATTAACATATGGAGGGATGCAAGTGACATTTGCACCTTTACAATTTTTTATTTGCACTCCATCATAGATACATTTGTATTTTTATATATTTGTAATTTTTTTTTCTCTTTTTTCCACCTGTAGTTCTCCTAATATTTTTCTTTTAAATGTCCCACTTATATGCTATTGTGCTTGTATTAAAAATGAGAAAGAAGAGGTAAGAAGGTTATCTTTTAATTCCAAGTGGTTAGCCTGGTGGTTAACGTTTAGGATTGGGCATGTGCTCCATGCAAGATCTCAGTTTCGAAAAATCTCTTTTTAAATGCAAATAATTTTTTGGGAGCTAAGGCTTTAATTAAGATCTCATAAATAGACGGTAAAATTAATTTTTAAATTAGTCAGTACATTAGACCGAATATTGAATTGTAAAAAATAAAAAGAAAGGTGTCTTTTGGGTTCCTCAAAATGAGCGTCGATGGTAAAGAAAATGTTGGCCTGCCCTTGATTTATTTTTTAAAACATGATTTCGGTAAAAAAATAAAAAAATTATTAAGTTAAAATTTTAAAATATAATTCAAACCTCAATTTTCTTCTCTCCTCTTTTCTTCTTCTTCTTTTTCTTTTTTTGGGTTTTATTATTGGTAAATTAATTAATCGTTTTTTCTCTCTCATTTCTCATTCTCTTACCTTTAACACATTAATTAATCAAATTTTCTCTTATACCCATATATTCAACTAAAAAAAAAAAATACAAATCATTTCAAAACTATTTTCAAAACTCATAATCAAATAAATTTTCAACTTCAAATTTTTTTTCAATAACTTATTTTTTAAAATACAATTCAAAACTCAAAACTTATTTCAAAAACTAAACCAAACGAAACTTTCTATTTTTTACTACATTTATTCAAGTATATGTTGAAGACTAGTAGTTGTTTGGGATGTGCTATATAAGTGTATTTTTTGACTTTTTAGTTAAAAATGTATGTTTGGGATAATTTGTTGACTTTTTACGAAAAGATGTAAAATAAAATGTTATAGTAAAATCAAAATAACAATTCTATCATTTTCGACTTTTTGAGTAGTTGAATTCAAAAGGTAAAATAATAATTTTGTATTAGTAGCTTTCCCCACAAGCTACTCTTGAATAGTATTGAATTTTTAAATTTTTTAGTAATTTTTTAATTTTTTAACTTTTTTAATTTATCTCAAACAAGGATTAAAAAAAAGGGGTTTGTTGGGTTTTGGTCATTGGGTAGTTCGGAGGGAACAAAAGATGCCATATGCAGTCGACAAAAAACAGCGGGAAAAATATGGGAATCAAACCTTCTACCGTCCTCTTTTCTCTCTCTCCTCAGACTTGTCCTCATACACACACATATCCTCCTTCTAGATGCCTTCCCCACCACTACAACCAACCACCTTTTATGATTCCCTTGTAAATCTTCTATTGTCAAAATAAATTAAATTACTTTTATTTATTTTTTTCTAAAAGTGTTAGAGAGAGAGAGAGCGCTTTGATTGTTGAAAATGGGGGGAAAAAAAAAAAAGGTAGGTAGATGGAGAGGCTTACTATATTCCCCTATTGAAATTCCTTGTCTCTTTCATTTTCTACTTTTTTTGTAGTGGTTGATCAAAGTCTTGCTTATGGTGGTTTGTTGATTATTCCATATACCATTCAATTCAATTTCTATTTTTGTTTTGAAAAAATAAAATGGGTATAAGGCACTTTGATCGGAATAAATTGAGTTTGATTAGGGTAAACGTGATAAAAATTGCAAGATTAAGAAAGAAAAATATATGATTTTTTTTAAAAAAAAATTTAGCGTGAGAATTGTGAAAAATATATAAAAATTAAATTTATTGTACAATTTATATAATCATATAAACTTAACTTTCATTTTCTTGTAAAAAGAAAGAAAGAAAGAAAAAATACATGTCAAAACAGCTTTAATATTATAACTTTTTTTGTTTTTTTTTTTGGGTAAATTTTTTTATCTTAACCAAATGCATATTAAAAAATAAATTTTCATTTCTATCCTTTTTACTTGATTAGACTGAAAATAATGATAGAAATGGCAAATGATATAAAATGAAATGAAAGAAAGAAAAAGATTACAAAAAAATAAAAAATAAATAAATAACAACATACGGGATTTACTTTTGTGACACTTCCTATGACTCCTTTGCCAAACAAACACCAAAAATGTTTAATTTTGATTTTGAATTTGAATTTTGTTTTCGTTTTTGTTTTTGTTTTTGTTTTTTTTTTTTTTTTTGTCACTATCTTTTTTTTTTTTTTTTTTTTTTTTTTTTTTTTTTGTCACTATCTTGCTAATCAAATTGACCTTAACAAAGGATAAGGGATCTAGAAATATGTGCTCCATTATTTTAATTAGTTGTGAATTATAATTACTCTGATTTTTGCTACACCGGAATGAAAAGTTGAAGAGAAGGTTGAGTTGTGCTAAACCCTAACCAATCTATATATCTATATGTTCAAACAATGACGCAAGGCTGCTGCTTGGCTGGTTGGCCTGGTCAATCACCATGGATATGCTATGCTTAGAGAATCTGGTTAGAAATCTTAGAAAAATATTCATCATATTTCTATTTTTCTTATTATTACACCCTAGTTTTTAGTTTGCACATTTTGTGTTTGGCTTTGCACTTTCACGTGTAAAATGAAAACTCACTTGTAACACATTTTAAAAATTCAAAATCAATAGTTCAAAATTACCATAATCATTTCAAGTTTTAAAACTGATTTTAAATTTTAAATAATTTTTTTGGGCAAATTACATTGATAGCCTTTACATTTAGCCTTTTGCGTTATTTTAATCCACACACTTTACATTGTTTCAATTTTGACATTTAGTTTTAGATTTGTATCAATTTAGTCCAATTAAATATATTGTTAGTGTTTTTAATGGAAAATGATCATTAAATTGATCGAAATTAACTTACAAGTTTATGATCTTATCCCTAAAAGCATGTCATTCATGTTTTTCATTAAAAAATGTTAATAATTGTAATCAATTAAATTAAATTGAGACAAAATCAAAAATTTAGGATCAAAATCTAGTCAATTGAAATTATAGAGATCAAAATGACACAAAACTTATAATATAGGGACTACCAATATAAGCTATTTATTTTTTATTTGCATCAAAGGATCTTATGAAAGACTGATGAAATTACATATAGCAACCCCCGTAATAAAATTTTCCATTTCCGTACATATAGATTCAAAACGGACAAACATTAAAAGACAAAACTTGGTTTGCTCGATACTTACGTTGTTAATATAAAAAAAAAAATGATATATAAGTTAATTTTTTAGATGTAGTGATATGTTAAGAAAATAATTAGTTGATAATTAAATATTCTGTAATCATCAATCAATCATCTTTTTGATCATTAAATTTAAAAAATAAGTCTAATTTTTAAATTTGAATAGCAATGATTTTAATACAATTAGTTGTTTTCTTAAACCTTGCCACTGATTTCTACGTGAGATGATATGTTGTACGTGCATTCACATATAGTTATTATTATTCTTTCTAATGTTGTTTCCTGGAAGGTTCGTTTGATTTCTGGGCCCTTGTTTTTCGTCTCTATGTTTTTGGATGTAGAGTTTCATTAACAACAAAGTTGGTAGATAGAAATAGGTGTTCTCTTACATTGAAAATGCTGTTTGAATGAGTAATATGAAGGACCAAACGATTCTAGATGCTCACATAGGGTGTTGAATTTCAACTTATTGTTTTTTAAGTTGAATAAGAATCTCAAAAGGCATTGGCCTTTTGGACCCATTATATTAGAGCTGTTCACCAAATTGATTCGATTTTAAAGTGAATCAAAAGTAAAATCAATTTTTACAGAACTAAATCAAATCATGAGATCTTTGGAAACGGTTCAGTTTTTAGTTTTGTTCTACGGTTCTAGGTTAGAAAATTTTATCATGGTATATAGACTATTAATTTTTAAAATATTCTGCAAATTAAATTTATAAATTTGTAAACACAAAATAATAAATTCATCATATTATATAACAATTACCATAGAAATACAATAATAATGACTAATGTAAAAATTATATAAATAGTGAATAAAAAGAACACATAAAAACATATTTCCAATCTATAAAAACACATATAATTATATATAGAGAGAGTAAATATTTTGTAAATAGGATGAATGAAAGTGTCATCAATATTAAAAAAAGATTGAAGTTCTAAAGTCAATGAAAACAGTGCAAATTCCTAGTGAAATATCCCTGTATTTATAAAAATTAATAAAAAGTAAGAAATGGTTCACTTCAGTTTAATTCGACTTTTTGAAATCTAAATTTGTAAATCGAACCGTAATCAATGATTTTTAATTTATTGGAACTGAAACAAAA